TTACTTTAGCCGCATTCATCGTGAAACTTGCTAATTAGCACATTATTAGGAAAGGCGATTTGCAAAGATTCGTTAAAAAAACCTTACACTCACTTCTTCTGTAGGTGAAGCTGGATCACGAATGATTTGCCTAAGTACAAACATTTTCATTGATATATCATGTAACTAATTTGATTTCTGTTTCTTTGTATGCTGTCCATTTCAGTTGAAACAATGATTGTTTTTGGACATTTGAATCTCTGTATTTGGTTACACTGAATATTTTGCTTATACTCTTAAAGGGTATAAGCAAAGGGGGTGTTAAAATATAACCACCCAAAGACAAAAGAACTGATAAAAATGAGCTGTTATAGGAGCAATAGCCATGTGGGCAGCGCTGTGTCATATGCCATAGCTGTGCACAAGGTGTTTGTCACAGCTCCAGACTTATTTGTTCATTAATGACGTCATGAGCGACTAGTCGACTTCGACTCGAATTTCATCACATAAAAGTCGACTTTAAAAAATCAGAAGTGGTTCAACCCCTACTTTAGCCATTCAGCAATCCTACAGCCTGAACCACTGTAGGGAAACCACCCTTACAGGTAAATATGACATTTATTATAATGGGTTTATGTGAAGATTGTTTTAAGTTAACTTAAATTAGAAGTTATTTTAAGTAGTCTAATAAATGTTAAAATTGTTAGCTTTGTAATGTTGAATGGCTAATCAATGGTTAAATATTAGGGGGGAAAACTATTTCATAGGGACATCAGAGTGATACTGGCCTTCAGTCATAAACAAAAGATGCCATTATACAAATATAAAAAATATACTGTCTTTATGTTGTTGCTACATTATTTTGAACAGGGTTTCCGCAGGGTCTTAAAAAGTCTTAAATTTAGTTGAATCAAATTTAAGGCCTTAAAAAGTCTTAAATTGTACAAGAAAGTCTTAATTATGATTTCAATAGGTCTTAAATTTGGGGACGGAAAGACCAGAATTGCGATATGGTTTAAGTCTATACATCTAGACTGTATTATAATTGTGAATTGTATCCAATTATTGTTTGTTTTGGTTTCTTTGGGTATACCTAATCACTTAGCTATCATCTCACCAAGTTTCAAATGTAAATTAGTATTTCTCACTTTTACCTAAGTACAAACATTTTCATTGATATATCATGTAACTAATTTGATTTCTGTTTTCTTTGTATGTTGTCCATTTTAGTTGAAACAATGATTGTTTTTGGACATTTGAAAAACGCTCCACCTGCTGGCAGAGAATTAATGAGCATTTTCAATAAAACTGTAGTTTTGTTCAGAGTTCAGACCAATGCGAAAATCGACCCATGTTTTTACCCTGCAAACTCGCAGAGCTTTAAATGTGAACTGGTGGATCGATAAGAAGACAATGCATTATAAAAATCTAAACATAGGGGTGTGCGATATATATGATCTGCGATAATATCGTAATTATTGTTTTAACGATGTGCGGTTTGATATTATGAGTATATTGCGAAAAGAAAACACAAAACACACCTACAGAGTGCACGCATACATTAGGTGATGAAGTCTAGTAGGTTAGACTAGTGCGCGTGCGCATTAAGGGTGCTTTCACACCTGGCCCGTTGTTTCAGAATGTATGACGTAGGCATAACGAAAGGCAACACATAAGATCCGGGGAGAGAGTGACGAACACGAATGCACAGAGGAGAAAGCAAAACAAAACACCTGTCACAAACTAATTTAAACATCCCGGGTATTGACACAAATGCACCATTTTAATCAAAACAGATACAATTTACTTGTTCACATGATTTCCTGTGCCGAAAACAAAACTTGGTTCTCGCGAGATTACACGCTTCTCCCCGGAGTTTACTCTCGTGAGACTACAGTCTTCTCCCCAGATCTTATGTTGCGCCTTTCGTTACGCCCACGTCATATGCTCGACCGCCTTGTTGTGAACGCGCCTGCTTGAGCGACCGGAAGCTGGACATTATAGTTTATAAAGTTTTAAGAATCAACATTTTCCTTAAACTAATGCATCGTTTCACTTCAGAAGACCTTTATTATCACCCCGGAGCCGTGTGGAGTAGTTTTATGATGGATGGATGGATACACTTTTTTCAGATTCAGAAACAGGGGCACCATTCACTGCAATTATACAGATTGGAACAGACAGGACAATTTCAAATATAACTCCAAATGTGTTCGTCTGAAAGAGGAATGTCAGACACACCTAGGATGCCTTGAGGGTGAGTAAAACAGGCTAATTTTCATTTGTGGGTGAATTATCCCTTTTAAGTGGGTACAGTATATTAAACCTATCAAAAATATGGTACTTTATATAAAACTGTATATAGTACTGTATATAAAAACAATAAAGGCATAATCAGAAAAAAACAAGCCTTGTGCATTATAGGGAATAATATTCTGAATATTTTACAGTTGGTTTGATACTTTTATCTCAAACGGTGTCAGAGTTTAATAAATTTAAGTAGGTACTGCATATTAAACCTATTAAAAATATGGTTTCAGTACTGTATATAAAAACAATAAAGGCATAATCAGAAAAAAACAAGCCTTGTGCATTATAGGGAATAATATTTAGAGATTTTTACAGTTGGTTTTATACCTTTAGATTAAATGGTGTTGTCGTTTAATGGATTTATATTATTGCATACATTAAAAGTTGTAAAATTAATTTTAAAAAAACACATAAAATGCTAATTCCAAAAACAGAGCCTTGTGCAATAACAGGGATGTTTTTCTGGACATTTTAGTATTGTCTTTATAGTATAATGTCATGTAGTAAAATTGTTTAATTAATTTAAACAGAACAGTAATTTAATTAATTTAAACAGTTTAATTAATTTTTCTAGAAAGTAAGCCTTGGGCATATACTGTATTTATGTTTATCTGAGTTAGTTTGGGCTCAAAACATAACAGCTGCAAAGAGTTTAATTGGCATGAAACCGATTGTCTAATGACTGTCAAACGTCAAACTAACTTTACCGCCGTTGATTATGCTGTATGACTGCAATTTTTACTGGAAGTGCAGTTTAAAGGTTTAATTTAACATATATTTAATTATATTTCGGCTAATTATTAGATTATAATTATAAATACTATAGTGTTTCGTTCAGAGATGAATCATTCATCATTTGTAAATGAAAACAAAACACACTCATTTATCGTCACACACGGGCGTAAATATTTGGTAACATATTTATACAGAACGTTAATTAGGTAAAGCGATACACGAATTGAAAGGGGAAATACAACATTAAATAAAAAATAGCCCTAAACCAGTTAATAATATAATATTATTATATTACAGTTTAATAATAATAATAATATACAAATATTAAATAAAAAGACACGACCCGTTAACGAATTTACAAGACTGTGGGATGGATAAAATGTTTTATCCATCTCTGATAATCGCAGGTTCCTATGGTCACGCAGGTTTGTTTACGCATTGAACTTGTAGCCACGAGAAATGGATGTTGTTCCCTCAACATAGGATCTCGAGGCCACGACTCCACATCGCATATCATGTTCCCACGAGTTAATATGACGTTCCCACGAATTAATATCTCGTGGCCACAACATTTTATCATGTTCCCATGAGTTAATACTGTATGTCGTGGCCACAACACAACTAAGTGAACCGAACATGTCCCCTCCCGGTCACCTTAGTTTTGAACAAATAGTTTGAATAAATGATTCAGTGGCTCAATCATTAAGACTTGCTGCAGTTTTAGGAAAACCTGGTCTGTTTTCATTTACATATGTATTTATTAAAAAATTTGTTCATTTTGTAGATTTGAATTATGAATTAACACAATACTGCATTGTATCGTGACACTACTTGGTATTGTGATATTTCAGCTGGTATGGTATTGTAATATATATTTATGGTATCGTGACAACCCTACTGGTAATGCTGTGTCTCAGGGAGGGTGGTGCCAGCTGCATTAGCCATTAATTTGGTGTGTTTCTAAACGGGCTTCAGATAATCATTATACCTGGATGGCAGCAAACATCCATTCACACAGGTGTTTTTCCCTCAACATTTAAACAGGCTCGTATAACCCCACTTCTTAAGAAACCCACTCTTAACCCAACTCTTTTAGAGAACTACAGACCGGTTTCCCTTCTACCTTTCATTGCAAAAACACTTGAATGAGTTGTGTTCAACCAAGTCTCAGCCTTTCTCACACAGAACAACCTCCTGGACAGCAACCAATCTGGCTTCAGAAGTGGACACTCGACACATGCCTTGCTTTCAGTTGTTGAAGCCCTAAGACTGGCAAGAGCGGCTTCCAAATCTTCTATACTTATTTTGCAAAGCGTCTGCTAAATGACTAAATGTAAATGTAAATGTAAATGCCTGGGGTACCAACGCAGCTACATAGATGAAAAATGCAGAGCATGTTACCAAATCATAAAACCATCCCAAAAGGGAACACAGGGTACAGCACAAGGCTAGGAGGTCATGGGAACACAAGGTCAAAAGAGAAATTAAGAGACAATGTGTCTAATTTCTGAGGAATCAACAGCACCAAACAGAATTGGAAAAATAACAACTCTTTCCAAAGACGTTCCTATAACACCTTCCGCCCCCAGTTCACCATTTTTTTTCAACTCTCCACTAACACCCACGGACCGCTAGCTGAACATCTGATGCATAAGGCACACAAAATGGGAAATACGTTGGGAGTTTCAAAGTCGTTACAGTATCTGATTTAATTTTACAGGAATATAGGGAGACGTGTGTCTCATTCTATTACGGTTGCCCTGGATCAGGATCACGATAACTAAAGCTGGATATTCAAAAGTATATTAAGCCAGCTTTTCAAACATATAATCAATTGACATTGCGTTATTATTAGAAACGCAATTTTCTAGAGTCCTAATTTATTAGAGTCCTAATCAATGAATATAAATACACACAGAGAAATCAAGCTACAGTAAAACTGTCACAACGTTTTAAGACAATGTAGATATACATACCTTTGACCAAATGATGCCTTGTGGTTTGGGGTGTGTGCATTCAGTTTTGATGATTCTTGTTGGAGTTAGAATAAAGTCAACTGTGAGGTCATGACTTTCAATTAGTTCCTCTGGAATGTCCACAACCTAAACACAGAAATCAGGTTGATGTGAAAAATGTGAGAGAAAAAAATTCAGATTTGCATGTGAGCTTTAGCTTACAGACTGAAGACTAGACATTCTCGTTCAGAATTTTCTGGTAGAGAGCAGAATTCACGTTTCCCTCAGCTATTGCAAGCTACCCAGGCCCTTACTGAAAGGTGATTCAAAATTATGTTTGGTTATTACTATCAATGTGGTTTGTGTAAAACATACTAGTGACGTGCTAAAATGTACTAGGAATAACATGCTAAAACATGCTGGTGACTTGCTAAGACATGCTGTAAATATGCTAAAACATGATAGCAACATGTTAAAACATGCTAGTGATGATAAAACATCCTGCCAACTTAAAACATGCTATAAACATATTAGTGACGTGCCAGCAATGTGCTAAAAACTTTTGTTATTATTATTGGAAACCAAGCTTATTATATATTGAGGGCCAAGCATATTGTACAAACAAGTGTACATATACATGTGAGGGGTATATGGAAAGAAAAAGATGTTACAGAAATAAGTGCTGCTAATAGAGGAAACTATGAAAACAAGAGTTTGTGGCCAGGAATAGTGTTTCCTGACATTTTTATGTATTCAATTTTAATGCTGGGGAAATACACAAAGCAAAGCATTACTGATTTACAAATATAGCTAGATCTAAATCCATAGGATCACATATCATTGTTATATATTGTCAACAGTGTAATTCACCCAGGTCCAGCCCTAAAACTTGTTAAACCATTAAGGCATTATAGTTTTTTTTTTTACCTTTATTTATATAGCGCTATACAATAGATTGTGTCAAAACAGCTTTACAGTAAAAACGTGTGGTGATAATGCAAGAGGACAATAGTAATCAATCAGTTTATCAGTTAAAGTCAGTTCATTATTGATTCAATGATGTCATAGTCCATCTAAGTTCAGTTCTCTTCCAATAGTGTCTGTGCAGTCAAGTCAAAAATGTTGCCAAAAATTGTGTCCCCAACTAAGCAAGCCAAAGCGACAGTGGCAAGGAACCAAAACTTCATCAGTGACAGAAATAAAACAAATGGCCAAGCAAGCGCAGACACTGACAAGATACGCGATACAGAACGAGACCAAACGCGATATCAGCACGTCTCCACACAGTAAACAAAACAAGCGTTTCCTAGCAACGACAACTGCACTAAACACTAATGAGACAAGTAAATACACTAACGAGCTGCTTTTAACTTCCGCTGATAAAGACTGCTTCTCTCAAAGACTATTTCTTTACACTGTTTTCCGATGTGTTCTGGGAAATTGGCTGGTAAAAGTATAATATTTGTGACCCTGGACAACAAAACTAGTCATAAGGGTCAATTTTTCGAAATTTAGATTTATACATCTTCTGAAAGCTGAATAAATAAGCTTTCCATTGATGTATGGTTTAATTATTTATGTTCCCTATAAATTATCTTTGGCTGCATTATTATGATTTTCTAATTTGGAATATTATCAAGATTGCGTAGGTGGATGTGTTCGGGGAATTTGGCTGGTAAAAGTATAATATTTAATGCCACTTATGCAACTTAAATGATTGAAATGACTTGAATAAAGATTTGTTAATTTTGATGAACGGGATCAAAGGAGACAGTCAGTAAAATGATCCTAACTTCCCACCACTAATATGGGGCCCTCTTGGGTAAGACATGAGCAAACATAATCAGTCCTTAGACTGACTACATGGGCCTTTGGTAGTACACAAATAGGTACTAGGTACAGATTGGGCAGTGTGTTTGGGATCTATGTGATTACGGTATTGACTTTACTCTCCAGAGAAACAAGCTTGTCTTTGAACTTCCTGTTTGTGCGGTATTGTCTTTGAACTTCCGTTTGTGCGGTAGCTCTGTATATTTCTATGGCATCGCTGTCTAAGTAATTTAGCTGGTAAAGTGGTTTTATGTATTGTAGAGTTAACGAAAGTTATCGTGAACAATGTAATGTTTAAAGCAAATGTCTTAACAAATGTCAGTAGACCAGGAAGATTTTAAAACGAGCGGTTCATTTATAAATCTGTCAGATCACAGAAGACAGCAAACGCAGCACTAAAAAAAGGGTGGGCTACATAAGGTGAATAGGCCACTGGTTCTCAACTCCAGTCCTAGAGGACCGGTGTATAGCAGACTTTAATTTCAGCACTAATTAAACACACCTGTCTCTTATTCACAAATAATTTGAACACTGTGATTAGCTTGTTTGGTGTGTTTGTTAGAGATAGAACTAAACTCAACAGTACATTTACTCTTCAGGACTGTTGAAGAGTTCATAAATCAGGAGTTGAAGAGCCCTGGAATATACAAATCAAATTAAACCCAGAGTGCCATCAGCAATGGCCTGCAAAGCACATGCTTATCTCCATATAGTTATTTCAAAATCTATACAAATGGTTCAAAATATCCAGAAAATGGTCACTGTGCAATATGAAGAACGGGTTACAGAAAGCCAATTATCTATCAACCTTTTGATGTATGATAATTAATATTTTATTTATTAGCATTTTATGATATTTTGATCAAAACACCTCTTCAAAAATCCAAATGTATATGTACAAATATAATTATTATCATTAGTAACAATAATTATAATGGATGCAGTTTTGAGATTCAAGTGAGATTTTGTGTGGATTTACAATTTTGTGTGTGCGCCTACAGTTCACCTTGAATTATTACATTTTTGTTCATATACTGAACTAATCAAATATTACAGCCTAAAAAATAAAACGATATACACGTTTCTTAAAAAAATAAAAAAAACTCTTTACTTTCGTTACCACTCTGAAACAATTGCAATTGGTTGTTTCACCTGGTTGCTTTCATCATGATTGGCTAATCTGACTGTCATCCACGAAACTGGCCAATGACAAAAGTGCGCGCCTTTTTACTAGTCAAGTTTGAAAATACGTCAGTTTGGTGATGTGTTTGCTACTGATCCGCGAGATTACTCGGTCAGTTCCTGATTGATTATGTGCCTGTTAAATTATTATTTTAAACTAATTTGAGTTGTGACATGTCAATGGAGAACAGCTGGAATGTGAACACAGAGGAAGGGGCAGACTGCATGTGTGAGGTCCTGCAAACATATGGTGATATCAGGTAACAAAACATTTTTCAGTCAAACCATTGTAAAGTTGTGTTTTGTGTCCATAATTTATGTGAGTGAGAGGAAATCAAAGTGCGAGGCTAATCGGGATTAGCGTATTAGCGCGCTGGCTAGTAAGTTATGTATTTCAATGCAGCGCTGTGTGTTTGTATTAATGTCAGCTAGTTTAAAACTCAAACTCGTGAGAAGTAAAGGAGCATCGGAATAAGTACAGTGAATGAGAAAACTGCAATTTACACTCGGAAACACTGGAATCTATAGGATAGTTGAGAAATGTTATATTTGTTATGTTTGTGTAGATGACGTTTCTGATTTTTAAATTTTTTTTTTTATTTCACCTCTTCAAATACTGATAACTGCTAATGATAAGATTGGTTTACATTTTTAGATCAAGCACACATTTTTCAGGGAAAACAGGCACCCAACACAGACTACACCGTAAGATGTTATTCAGTTTTAACCATTTTTAGACCTCACATTGGGATTAATAGCTGTAGTATTAAGTATGATTCTAATCATAAGTACATTTGTAAGATATTTCCTCCACTGGTGATAGAAAATGTGAGTAACTTTTTTTTTTTCCCTGTTGTTGTTTTTTGCCTGTTGTCTTTTTTGGGGGATTCACATTTTTCTGATGGGATTGTCATGCATTAGGTTTATGTTTAAATTTTAAATCATTACTTAGTTTTAAAGCTGACAATTTGTTTATGTTGTCTAAATGGCTTATAATGGCAAATGGCAGTACAATTTTAATACATTTTGTTTAAGATTGTTTAAAAGAATGGTAAAAAAAATATATATATTTTTAAGGACTCGTCAGCCCCACCCCACTCCAGATTCACCAAGGATCCAGCTGAAGCCCCGTTCACACTACAAGCGACACGCAACGTCAAAGCAACACGATCCCATTCATTTCAATGGAGAGCTGGCGATTTCCTGCGACAAGAGCGACAGAGGCCGTTGGCGACCGGATGGGGCTTGTCCAGCGACACGACAAAGTTCAGAATCCTTCAACTTTATGCAAAAGAAGAGTGACTTTCGGGAGCGACAGCTGATAGGAAAGAAGACGGTAGAGCTCATGTGAGTGTTCTCCTCTCAGCCGTAGATAAACATACGCAATGGGAAAAAGTAGGCTCTGCTTCTCATTCATTTTTGTTTGTATGTACGGATTTAACGGAAACCTGATTCGCTGTGAAGGCAACCAGTACTGAGAACACCCGCTAGCAACCTCATCGCCAGCCCCTGTGACCGCAGCTTCATTACTGGCCATTTGCAGGAGGATTGTCCTTTATCTGCTACACTGCACTGTAACTTCTGGTATGGATTCACTGACCTTTTGTGATATGTGAGATGTTTTGATTTTACTAAATGTAATAATTTTACTTAATTTGATTTTACATAATTTACTTAAAGGGACAGTTCACCCCAAAATTAAAGTTCTACCATCATTTACCCTTCATCACCCTTATGTTTTTCCAAACCTGTATGAATTTCTTTCTTCTGTTGAAGACAAAAAGATATTTTGAAGAATGTTGATAACCAAACAGTTCATAGTAGCCATTGACTTCCATACAGTAGTAGGAAAAAAAATTACTGTGGAAATCAATGGGGCCCGTCAACTGTCTAGTTACCAACGTTTGGAACAACATAAGGGTGAGTAAATGATGACAGAATTTTCATTTTTGAGTGATCTATCCCTTTAATACAATGTATAATTATGATTCTGAATTAAGTGTAATGTTTCTCTAAAAATATTAATAAGAAATATATGGAGACGCATATATTATCAGAAATTAGAGCTGCACGATTAATCGTTAAAAGATCATAATCTAGATCCAAACCCCATTTACTCTTATTCCTAAATGACAACGATTGTTGTTGTCGCATACTAACACCGTGTCTACACCAGACGTGACAGTTGTCATGTTGCGCCATGGCACAACAGCTAAAGTCTGTCTACT